TTTTCCAAGCCGTTTTACTTTCTTTTCTTCTCTCATCACACATTCAAGCCCCCAGTGTTCATGTATCATTTCAATCTCAATTATTCACTTCCTTCTTACACATTACATTTCAGCATAGCAGTTTAGCGTCAAATTTTCAGCATAAAGCATTCCCACTAGCAATTTCTTCAGGAATTGCATTCTCTAATTGAGTCTGTCGTTCAAGCTCTCAAACCAGAGACATTCATAAAGATCATTTGATGAGTCTTATTTAGTTTCTGATGAGTTTCTGATCAGCAAGGCAAAGTTGGTACTGTTATCTGACTGCAATAAGGTTGTTTTTGAGGCGAGCATACATTTAAAACATTTGTTTAGATCCCTGTTGATTTAATGTATTCTTCAGTCACCTCCAACGGCTGTGCCAGCCCTGTAGCATAGGAGCAGTCCAGCTGGTGTCATGTTTCCATCACTGCCCATAGAGCTGGAGCGGATAAATAGCGTGACTGCTGCACAGTCATTTGTCCCAGGAATGAATGCCGCTGGTAACCTTTCCCACTAAAGACAAAAGCCAGATGTTGGTGGGTTTTCTGACCAGTCGGAAATGGGCTCGAGTGTTCTTTAAAGAATAAAGAGCACAAGTGTTACATCATTCTAGTTATTTAATGTTTGATATTTACGGCCCCTACACACGGGGGCGTGCGTTGCCGCTTCAACGCTTCTGCCCATTCACTTTGAATGGGGTGACGTCACGTTTCGCCGAACTGCATTGTGGGAGCAAAGCGTAGCTTCTCTCGCGGTGCTCGCTGCAAAAGTAGAGCAATGTTCTACTTTTGCCGCCTCGACGGAGGCGTCAGCCAATCGAATCATATGCCAGTGCAAGCTCTAGCCAATCAAACCGCGTGCTTGTGTGTCTGGGGCGGGAGATTCATGTGATTGGTTGTTGTTCGAGTTTCAGCCCCCCCTCCCCGCCGGCAAGCGACAACGCACACCGCCGTGTGTAGGAGCCATTACACACTATATGGCAGGAGTTTGCCTGCTCACCTAAAGGGACAAAGGGAGAGTGTTGAAACAAAGAGACAGTTGAGGACGAGGATGCGCTGCCGCCTTCTCTCACTCACTGAACATTGGGGGATTTGGACCCATCAGCCATGTCTGCTTGTGCCCCTCCTGTAATCACAGGTGTTCATTTTTTGTAATCACTTCATCCAACAAGTTTTGGTTTACTTGTTTTATTGAAAATGTCTTAACAACATCGAGAGCAGAACATCACACGTCTTTATTTCCCTAATGAAAGACGTGACCCCTAAGACCCTAACTAATTCCTCTGAGGTAAATCCTGCCTCATAACATGAGAAGTTAGCTCTTTGCTTTGTGGGACCAGACTGAGGCATAAGCAGGGCTTTAAAAGAAGAAAAACAACAACTCCATTTGAAAAACAAAACTGTTTTATTTATTTTTATTTTAAGTCACTAAAATAAGTGAAATATCCCCAAATGTTGTATTTTCATCACTAGAAGAAACATACCATGCTCAATGTCGAGAATTAAAACAAGACATTAACTTAAAGGGGACCTATCATGCAAAATGCACTTTTTGATGTCTTTTATACATAAATGTGTCCCTGGTGTGTCAGGGAACTCACAAAGTGTCAGAAAACAAAACCCTCTCTCTTTCCCTCCGTACCCACATCTCTAAAAAAGAAAAAAGGGGGGTGCTAACAAGCAGATCCAGAATTTTCGCTCCTAAAACGTCATTGGCGACATCCGGCCGACGTGACCCGTCCCAACCTATCGTCTCCGGCAGCCGTGACACGTCCCAACCTATATTCTCCAGCACACGTGACACGTCCCAACCTATCATCATAGTGCAGCTGTGTGTCTGTGTATTCAGCAGGATGTCTGCAGGAGGCACTTAGAGTAAAGTTGTTATATATAATACATATAATGGCACTGTTCTAGCGGTAAACACTTAAGAAAGAACATGTCAAGCTATGTGCTGTATCAGAAACAATGCGCGGCGTGTTTTGGGAGTAATATGCTGTCTGTTTACATTAGCAAGCTTGCTAACAGTCAGAGCTAACCATGGAGCTTACGCTGTAGGCTACTGGAGAGCATATGTGTAACGTAATGTCCTTGCGGTAAACCCTGCGAGAGAGAAAGGTTTGAGCTCCATACTATTCCAGAAATAAAGCTTGGTTAGTGGTTAGGAGCATAATCACCGCATGGCATTTAATCACCGCAGCATTTAGCTGAGCTTCTCCCGTTAGCAGGGGAAAGCTACAAAGGAGCGTGGCTAGCAGAATCAGCCGGTTTGCAACAGGGCTGCAAAAGAGGGGTATGAGCAGTATGAGGCATGGCTACAATGGGTGATCTGTTTGGTATTTTAAGCAAGAAACATCACAGACATGTTTTGTATAGGTACGGCCCTACACTATATGTTTTCAATATAGCATAATAGGTCCACTTTAAGTGTCTCACCTCAGACTGTTTCGCCCTCATGCACCTTCACATGGTTTGTGATTTATTGATTATTAGCTATGGTTCAAGGTTTTATTATTTTTGATATCCCATTAAATGATCCCTGCTCCACAAAGGCTCTGTCTGACAGATACCTGGTGAAGCTGCCATAAAGGATTATTGCAATCTATTTTTTCTTTTAAAATTCCTATTTCATGCAACCAACATTGCAAATACTGTATTTGCTCAGGACTTCCTATTAGAGTGGGAGAACCTTTAAAGAAACTGACTCTTAGGAATCATATTGGATATGTATCAGTCTAACCTGATCCCAGATCAGCGGCAGGCTACATTCCTGCTTCAGCCTGTCTTTGCACTGCAAGGCTATTCTCTGTAACCATGGCGTCCAACCCATCTGCTCTCAGCGGCTGTCAGCAAGGGGGCGGGGGTTTGGTAAGGTGTGTGTGTGTGTGTGTGTGTGTGTGTGTGTGTGTGTGTGTGTGTGTGTGTGTGTGTGTGTGTGTGTGTGTGTGTGTGTGTGTGTGTGTGTGTGTGTGTGTGTGTGTGTGTGTGTGTGTGTGTGTGTGTGTGTGTGTGTGTGTGTGTGTGTGTGTGATGTGGTAAGCAGAGAATATGTGCTCGCACTTAATTCTCAGCTTCCTGAGTGAGTTTGATCATGTGCATTATGTAGCCTGGAGGTAGATGGGGATTAGGGAAGATTTCCAACAGCTCTCTCACTTTGCTGTCTTAACAGTATGAGAGCACCCTCATGATTAGTAAAGAAGCTTCATGAAGAAGGTCCTCAGTCTCTCTTTGATCCCCTCGCACACGTACTGTCTCCCAAACATCTAACGTCTTTATTAAATCATTTTAGTTTTTTCTTGTTTTGAATGTCTCATTTCCAGCCTTTATAAACCCGCAACACATACAGTGTCATTTCTATTACTTGTTTCAGGACACTTTGTGCAACAGGACCACTTCCTCAGGTCTTTAAATATGCCCTCACATGTGTTCCACGTTACAGCTCTAATTTATTACTGTCCGACCAACTTTTCACAGTTTGGAGTGATCAGCAGAAAGTGTGTTTTTGGCAAACAGAAGGCTAATAATTGAGAGAGCGCCTGTGTGGAAAATCCACGACAGGCCTGGAGGCGTTTAAGGGGAAAAAAAAGAGACCAATTGTAAGAACAGGTTTTAGGACATTTTAAAAGTACTAAATGGATTGATAATCAATACGCTGAATTGAATGTCGCAAATTGATTGATATAGCAAATGTGAGCAACATTTGAGATGAACAGGTCTGAGGTCTCTGCAGAAAGAGGCCTCTTCATGTGATACTGCTGTTGTTCGAGGGGAGAAAGGAGACACTGTAAACAAATCAGTGGTGTGGTTTCAGCTCGCTGCCTCATCAGAGCTACTGAATAAAACATACACAAGACGTCTCCCTCCTGCTGCCTGTTACACCTCCACTTTCACAAAATGAGAGTTGGGGCTTAAGAACTCTTTGGATTAGCTAGCGCCTGGCTAGTGCTTAAGCCCCAACCGCCCCCATGATCTCAATTAAAAACGTGTGCCTCCAGCAAGGTTTTTGCATCCACTTTCTTCACGGTGTAGAGGAATTAGTGTTAAGAAGTGGTTGGAAATGGTTCTAAATGTCTCCTTTCCTTTTTTCTGTTGTGTGTCTCTGCAGATGATCCAGCTGACCAACGTACTTGCCTTATATGTGGAGACCGTGCCACAGGCCTGCACTATGGCATCATCTCCTGTGAGGGCTGCAAGGGCTTCTTCAAGAGGAGTATCTGCAACAAGCGTGTGTACCGCTGCAGCCGCGACAAGAACTGCGAGATGTCGCGCAAGCAGCGCAACCGCTGCCAGTACTGCCGCCTGCTCAAGTGTCTGCAGATGGGGATGAACCGCAAAGGTAACGGGTGGACACATCACATATTTTAACCCTATGGTGGCTCCACCTATTAAAAATGAAGATGATTATGAGAATTTTATATTTTCACATTTTTGGTTACATGTTGTTTATGGATGACAATAATGTGAACACGTCAAGCAATTATACAGGTCTACATATCATGAACCTTTCCTTCTTCTAAATGATTAAATGAAAGGGTGGTAATGGTTAGATTATATTTGAATGTTTTAAAAGATTTGCTTGGTTGTATTTATTAAACGCTTGAGTCTCTGTCAATGTTCCAAAATGTAATTGTGAGTAAAACAGAGGTCATGTGCTGCAACCTGACCAAGTCCTCTTCTGGTGTAATTCCTGCTACAATTGACAACCAATTGATATTTTACATTTTTGAAAACTATAACTTTGTGATCAGCCTTTTGATAATCTTCATCAATCTTTTCAGTAACTCTAAATACACTAAATCAACAATATGTGTAGTTAAGAAAACTTCAAACATAACGTGTGCATGCAGGGCAATAAGAGAGGAAGTCCCCGAATGACTCTCATGACAGAGATGGGTTAATCTCAGGTACCACGCTGCCCCCTTGTGGATGCTGGTTGTAAATAACCCTTTAGTGCTGCTTCAGCCTGATGGCCTAATTTCGACGATTTATTCTTCAAATACTGTGATGAAAGCAGGCGTGTCCTGACACTTGAAATACATTGAACTCCTTGCTTCTAATAAACCAATCCCATGTCAAGAAAAAAACCTCTCTACCTGCCGAACAAAAACAAAAAGTTAAGTTGGAACAAAAGTGAAAAAGGACCAAAACAAATGATGTGAAGCAAAGCCCTGTGAGATCAGTTTCAGCCACTAGGTAGAGCTCTGACACTAACCCTGATCCGCGGTGTGTTCATGGACCACGTGTAGATTGAGATTTCTGCTCTTTCTTTTTGTCATGCAGCAATCAGAGAGGATGGCATGCCAGGAGGGAGGAACAAAAGCATCGGGCCTGTTCAGGTACATCACTCACTTGAATACCAGAAATGTTGTTTTTGTGACATTCACTGACCTTCCGGCTAAGAGTCAGCCTATACATGTTATTGTGGCTCAGTCCCAGAGTTGGCTCACTCACCATGAATGCATAGACAAACGCCCGCTTCCATTAAATGACTGCTTTATCTCCGAGTCCTAATGAAAGCAGGACCTCTCTGTCATTTATATGGAATGAATTGCCGTTTCACTGTGTACTGAATGATAGCAATGGAAGTGTCTCGACCCCAGCTGCAGATACAAGACACCACATTTTCTGGCATGCTAATGCCTTTGTCTATTTTCTCCCTTCATGGACCGGCAAGGATCATATTATTTTAGGTGTGTGTTTATCAATCAGACACACACACACACACACACACACACACACACACACACACACACACACACACACTACTACTACTACTACTCTACTCTCTCTCTCTCTCTCTCTCTCTCTCTCTCTCTCTCTCTCTCTCTCTCTCTCTCTCTCTCTACACACACTACTCTCTACTC